CGGGGGCGGCCCGGCCTCTCGCCGGGACGGGCTTGTAGACGGCGGCGGCCGGGTGGACGCCGGGGAGGGGGATGCGTTAGGGTCGGCCCTGGCGCTCTCCGGGGAGCAGCTGAAAATGAGGCCTGTGGTTTCTTTGGAGAAAGAGCAGGCGTCAAGCTTGAGGAGTTGTTCAAGCTGTTTTTTTTCCACAGAAGGTGAATAAAAAACTTTTTTTATAGCTTGTGTCTTGTCAATCTGAATGCCCTTGAGTGCTGTGTGTTTTTGAAGAAGCTAGTAAGTTCCTTACGCTGGTGATGAGTTAACACATGTCTCTGCTTACTGACTAAGGAAGATGCACTGTGAGACTTGTTTACTTGGATGTTGTTTCCTGTTTTTGAAAGGGTGCCAAGTGCCTCTTCTGTGGAGGTTGGCACACACAATCCCCTCTCTACTTTTGGACTCTGGTTTCAATCATGTAACCAGAAAACTGTCTGCCTTTCTGCTAGGCTTCTCTTGTCAGAGAGCCCTTCTGTATGTGCTGCAAATAAAGCTGCTTCTAACCACTTGTTTTGTTGCAGATTGTGTCTGGAATCAAGTACATAATGAAAGTTGAGATTGGCCGGACAACTTGCCCAAAACCAGCAACTGATCTCCAGAGCTGTGCTTTCCATGATGCGCCGCAGATGGCTAAGGTAGGCTCCAGAGGACAGCGTGCTGGCCCCTGGGTTTCCAACCCCTTCCCTCTGGCTGGCTTAGTACAGAGTGGTATGGGCAGTGTCCCCTGTCTGCCTCAGCCAAGATCCGAGACCTTATGCCTTTACACTTAACAAGGTACTGCCCTTGCAGAACTTGTCTTTCCAGATGATGGTGACAGAGAAGGCAGGGCCTTTTAGCCTGTTTTGTAAGTAGGGATCTGAGTCTGTAGTGCATGGAGGACTGTGTGTGCCTCAATCCTCTTAAAAAGTGCTTGTGGTCTGGATCACAAGGATATGTGATGGGAACTCCGCCAAGCCTACAGGCCTTCTGGCTGTCATTCCAGTACCAGGCTGAGTCCCCATACCATTCTCTGCTCCTCTTGTCCCATGGTGATGTAAACGTGCTAGACTTGACATGCTTTCCTGGGGGACTTAAATTACTGTGAACAGTGCTTTAGGCTAAGCACTGATGACAAGAGGCAGACTACCCCTGTTCTCTGTGCCCACCAAGCTGTTACATGGGAGTTTTGTCTAATAGCAATGCTCTTTAAGAAGTACTTAAGCTTTTCAGATGAGAACACCAAATATGTCTGCCTTGATCTGGCCCGAGTCCAGTTCTTCCATAGTACTTCATTACTTCTATTAATCACAGTGATAGGCTTAGCTTCTCTGTGTACATGACCTTTGTGTATGCATGTATGAGAAGTGTAACTGCACGCAAGTGATCCATTAAGCACCTAGCTAGAAGCTTGTGTGTACCATCATGACAGTTGCAGTGATTTGATGCATGCACGTACAGATTAGCTGTGCAGGTGTGCTTACCTGTGCCTGAGAGCTTATGTTGGTGTATTACCCATGCTGAAAGCTTTCCTGTGTGTGAATGGGTAAAGGAGGTAACCTGATCTTCAGAAGTGCTGGCTGCTCAGCTTCTCTGTTAGTGTTTATTTGAGAGAAGTGATTCATCCTGAGCAGGTGCTAACAAGAGTGGTGTTCCAGAATACTTGTCAGGGGAGTGCAAATCTAGAGAGCCACAGAAGTGGCATACATTCTGGATCACGTGGGGTAGTAAATCAGTGTAGAACAATGGTCAATGATATTATTTTATGCTCTTAATCTGATAACTGCTTTTTTCTTTCTCTCCTTAGCACACCATTTGCGACTTCGTAGTGTACACTATTCCTTGGCTAAACCAAATTAAACTACTGGACAGTAGCTGCCAATAAGTCTACTTTGGTTCCAGTGGAGACCAGCAACCAGTTGCTCAGATTTAAAAAAAGCAATAACACAAATTGAGATGGGCTTTATCAATGTCTGTTAACTCAAATACTTACGTATGCTTGTGCTATGCAAGTTAAACTATGTAACTTTCCTTTAAAGCACAGTACGATCTCAACTTTGTTTTTCTTCTAATTACATTTTAGAGCAGCTGTTTTGGTCTTCCTACAGCTTTCCCAATAAATCAGAATTCTGATTAAAAAAAACTTGGTATCCCTGTGAAGTGACTACTGTAAACATAAACTTAAAAATTGCTGTGATGTGTGGGGGTTTTTTGAGCTTCTGCTGTCTTGGAGGGAGGGTTTGCTTTTACTTCTGACCTAGTCTATCATGCCCAAAGAATGGGGTGAGAAGGAATGTGGGGCCCTCATTACAGGGGGGATAAATCATGCCTCTTTGTCCCCTTAACCTGGCCTCTGGTTTTGAGTAAGAGATGGAAGTCTTTAGCTGTTTTCACTGAAGAAACGCTCTGCTTTTGAGAACACTGCAGTATGTGACACTTGATCTTGGGAATATTGGCCAAAGCTTGTACTAAGGCTGTGATCCTTTCAGGTCCTGGCTGCTATACTGTTCTGTTGAAAGGCTGCATGTGTTTATGCAGCTGTGCTGTGTAAGAATTAACTACTCTAGTGTCTTCCTGCACTGCCTTTGGGGTGTTTTAGGAACCCTTGCTTCCTATGGCATCTGGTCTTTGCAGGTTGTATCCCTAGCTTTTTCTAAGCTAGAAGCTCTGAGCCGAAAGGCCCAGGGCTTTCCTTCCAGTCCAGGCGGTAGCCTGGCTCACTTCATTTGTAACCTAAACTGTGACCGATGGAGTTGGAGGAGCAGTTTCTTCGGCCTGTGTGCCGGACCCTTGACAGCTTCTGTGTACAAGCAGAGGTGGTGCAGAAACACCTGGAGCGGATCAGTGACAGGCCTGTCTCAGGGGGAGACTGAACTATACTCTGGCTGTGTATTAACTGGGGGGAATTAGAATGATGTCTGGTCTGGGCAAATACCTTTAGATCAGCAGGCAGAGAGGATCAGCACCCAAGAGCTCTTAAGAGAACTGGCTGACGTGTTTCCTATTAAACTGTGATGAATATGTATTGCAGGGAAATTGGGGATACTGTGCCTGCATGGGAGAGGACAGATGACCCTGATGCCCATAACCTATGTAGCCTGAGGACAGCCTAGTGCAAAAACAATGGGAAAGTTAGTAATTGGTGTTAAGTGGATAACTGATACGAAAGAAAGAAACCTTATCAGCCAGTGTAGTCTTATAGCAAATGGGTATTGTCCACAAAACCTGGCTTTGTTCTGTGAGCGTGAATGTTCCCCAGAAGCAACCCTTTAAATCCAAGTGCACGTACAAGCCTGGTGGGGTCTTTCACTCAGTCAAGCGCATCGCTGCTAGTTTCAGTAAGTATGGCACTATGTTTGGGGTTGGTGTGAGCATCACAGGGAAAGACAGCTCCAGATCTAGGGAAAAAGAAAAAAGCAGCTTTTCAATGTCTTGTGATATGATGACCCAGAACCCAAGCAAAAGAGACAGGGAAGCTTCCTTGAGCAGAAGGCAAGTGAGACTGGAGCTTGGGATCGTGCACAGGAGGGGTCTTTTGGTTTTTACTCCTGGGGGGAGACTGGAAGGAAGGAGCAGGATCCCCTTGAAAGAAATTTCATCTTCAGGTAATAGGGGAAGGTACCAGGTCAGGAGAAAGAGTCTTGAGGAGTGGGTGAAGGTGCTGAGGTGAACAACGGGGATGCTTGTTTTGCACAGCCCTAATAGCACATTTCTTACTTGTGTCTTTGCTTTTTCCATGTTTTGACGTAAACATATTCCTTTTGATGTAAATTTCACCCAGGGATAAAGTGAGTCCAGTGTTCTATCATGCCCTATGTTAATCCTCAAGCCCAGGAGTCTTGTGTGCAGGTCTGGTTGTCCTGTTTTGAAAGGAAGGTGGGAGGCGTGCAGAGAAGAGCTGCAGAAGTGATCTGATGGCTGCAGAAAGCAGCTTGAGGTGAGAAGTGTAAGGATGTTGTTATTCTTTGCCTAAAAAATGCTATCTCGACGAGACCTAACACAACCACATCTTTGGGCATGGGGGGGCTCGGGTCTAATGGAGGAGAGCAAAACAAGAGAGTAACCAGAAAACAAGCTTCTAGTGGGAAATACAGCTCCCTAGGCGTGCATCTTCGTGGGTTGCTCTTTCTCCCAAGGGAAATGCCACTTCCCATCGTTGCCAGGGTTTGATGAGCTTGCAGTGAGCACATTGCCAGTTCTTGATTCGTGTTGTCAGGGGGTTGAGCTGGTTGCCCGACACCAAGGATCTCCATCCAGGATGTGCTCAGATCCAATAGGAATTATTCCCCCTGCTTCCCCACCGTCATTGCCCCATTCCCTCTGAGTGCTGTGCATGAAGGTGGCCCGTTTCTCTTGCCAGCCAGGTCAGTGACTGTGCAGGTGTCCGTCTGCCATGTTGTTGGGTGAGTGACCCTGCTGACCGAGGAAATCCCGGTGCTAAACCGCTCAGGTGCCCTCACTTGTCATTTTTCTAACTACTCCCTTCATTCGTACATGCTTATTCCCTATTTTCCAGTCTACCTAAACAAGCGCTAGGCAGTGGTGAAGGGGCTCCATCATGCTTTTGGTGGGTTTGCCTGTGTTTCCCTTTTATCATCTTGGCTTGAGGCCTGGATGGGTAATTGCACTGGTCTCTTTGGTAAGGAGACTAAGCAAGAAATGAGGGTGCAAGTGGACGTAACCAGGCATTTCCACCACTTTAGCTGTATTTATTAGCCAGCAGCTCTGAACAGCATGCGGGAAAAAGAGTGGCTGTGCCAGAGAAAATGAGAGTTTGAGTGTTACAAGCTCCTGAATTCAAAGGTATTGCATTTTCATGTTGAAATGCCAATGACTAAGGGCACAAATGAATGGCACAGATTACCCCATCCTCACAAGCTGCTGAGTGTCAGCCTTGGTGATTGTCCCTACGTGCTCTCCACTCGGAGCAAATGCCAAAAAAGCCTGACCTAATTTAAGCACCTTCCACTGTGGGCTGTGCTACTTTGCATTTGCAACAGGCTAAGAGCATTAGTGGAAGTTCCCCTGCCAAGAGCATTTTGCTTGGCAGGTCTTTCTGCTTGGCTGGCTGGCGGTAGCTCGGTCAGCTGAACGCTGAGCTCTCATTTTTAGCTGCATTTGCTGCCTGACTTTTTCAAATGTCAGTGACAGACGTGAATGAGTGACCAGGGAAGTGCTTATTTCATGTTGTCTCTTGTTATGCTTGGCTTGCATCTGATGGATCAATTCTGGGGTCATGCTTTCTTAAACTTAGGGGGGTCAGAGCTTTGCTGCTGCTACAGCTCGTGAACCCAAAGCTTTTTCCTGGCTCTGGGACTCAGGGAGAGATTTAGGACCAACCGGCTAGGAAGTGTAGCTCTCCTTAGCAGTGCCTGCACTTGCAGACCTGTACTCACATGGACTTGTAGCTCCCAGCTCTGCAAAGCACAGCTGAGACACACAGCTGTGAAAGTCATGACGTTTTTGGAGCCTGTGGGCATTACCGGTGTGCCACAACTATGGCATGCTCAGCTGAAGACAACAGGGCTATATCCTCACTAGTGTGAACAAACAGAAGTATTGATCCCACCTGACCAGGCTGGCAGCATTCAGCCTAGCTGGCTTTTTTGAAGGGCATCTTATATGTGTGAGAGTTTGTGATAAAAAGTAGCTTTACCACGAGAACTGAAGAGCTCAGATGGTGTTGAGAAATGCGGTACAAGTTGCCTTTGGCTTTTTTACCTTTTCTGGAACTCTCACCCACACACCTCCTCTGCCCGTGGCCTAAGACCTCATTTAAGCTTAAGCCTGGGTTCCCTGACCCTGTCTGAGCAGCATTAGATATGTCCTTAATCTCCAGCCCTGGCTACTGCATGGACCTTGGACCTGCCTTGTAGCTTTGACTCCAGCCCCTTCTTCTTCCCCAGACCGGGCTCCCTGGAGGGACCCTGGTCCCGGTTCATCCCCTTGCTGTATCTGGGGCTGTTGATGGACCCTGTCCCACCCTTGGCTCTACTGGCCATGCTGAGACCCCATGGGACTGTGCCCTATTGGGGAGGGCATGGCCAGTGCCAGGGCTTCCTCAGCTCCTGGCTCATCCCCTCCTTGTGCTGCTCCCTGGGACGTGGCCCTGCAGGGTCTTCCTGAGATCCTTGAAGCTATATCAGCACTCCTGCCAGTGTCATGGTTTAACCTCAGCCGGCAACTGAGCACCACACAGCCGGTTGCTCACTCTCCCCACCCCGGTGAGATGGGGGAGAGA